AGTTCCTGAGTTACCTTTCTATCGGCCTTATTCCTCTCTTCCCAGCAGCTCCCTGACATCTTTTCTGTGGCTCATTTTTACTTACACTTGAGGGTTAAGCTGTGACTTCATTCTTAAGGGGATTTATATTATAAAAGGGCTCCTGGATATGGGAAAAAAATCTTTCAAGGAATTAAGTTAAATTAATAGTCCAACAATGGTAGAACCACTATTCTTAGAGGGTCAGAGTAGCACAGTCTTAGCTTTCCCTTCAAGCATTATTACCAATAGTGATTTTTAAAACGTAACTGAACAAACAAGAGCCACAAATAAGTACTTTATTTTAGGAAAGCATTTTAAGGTAAAATTCAATCTACCATCTCAGCCTAAACAATAAGTTTCCATAGTTACATAAATTCATTAATTTTAGTTTTCAGGTTTTAACCACTGAAACTTAAGCTTTGTTACAACTAAAATACTTATTGTGAGGGAGTCCCCAGTTACAGGAATAATAATGCTTACCGAAAAATCTTTAAAAGATGCTGAAAAGCATTAAAAAATTAAAATCACTCATAATTAGAGAACTGAGACATAACTGCCAATATGTTTGCATCTTTCCTAATAAGAGTTACAATTATAAAGTCGCTAAAATTTCAGAGCTTCCTATGTGCCATATACTCAGTGCCTGACTTGGATTGTGCTGAATCTTTACACTTTGAGGTAGGCACTGTTAACCCTCCATTTTACTGATGAGGAAATCTAGGCTGGATGCTTCAATGACCGCCCACGGACACACTACTACTGAGTGACAGGGCCAGTATTCAGACTCAGTTTGCCTAATTCCAGGACTTGTACTGTCAACTGTACTATATCATAATGCCCATTGTTCGTAATGGCTTCTCTAGGGCTTACCACATACCTTTTAACTTATAAGAAATAGCTTCAGATTTATACTAAATTCCAGTGAGACAGAAACTGTTACTCTTACATAGCTCTATTTCCTTTTCTCCTTTTTGTGGTATTGTTACACATACTGCATCCATTAATGTTATAAACTCCAAAATATATTAGTAATTATTATAATATCAGTATTATACTAATATAACATATGACTGTGATATCATATTAAGTAATAACTTATAAATTACTAGTTTCTTTGAATGTCTCATTGTTTTTAGAACTGGATTACCTCTAATATTGTCCTGTATGATATATATACAGTAGCAACTCTGGGTTCTCCTTCATCACAGGGCTTGTTATTTGCTTGTTTATTTGTTTAGTACTTGGTTGGATTATTTTAGTTAAGACTGTCCCCTCCCTACACAATGGTAAGCCTTTGGCACTGCTCCGCAGGGAAGAGCGGCTTTGGGTATGCCCACTGGGATGGCCACAGCTTTGGGGGCTCTCACGAGAGATTTCCTATCCCTATTCACGAGAGAATCTCCTTCCCTGACTGTATCAACATTTGAGCTCCACTAATAGCCAGTGGAATGCTTTACTGTTTTAAAGAATGTCCTGGGACATAACTTTCTCTAGATATCAGTCTGATCCCCTGAAGGAAACGTCCCCATGATGCATATTTCTATTTGTCGTGACCCCAAGCGGACCCCTCCCAGCCATTTCCCCCTAGCTTTCTTCTGCAGACTAGCCAGCCTACAGTTAGCCTGTCATCTTCACTGAACATGAGTGTCCTCCCAATTACTGTTCACCATAAACTCCACCTGTTTTTCCAAAGCACCCTTAGGCTTGAACTTCTCCGTGCTGTGTTGACAATGAAGTCAGTTTCTTTGGCAAGAGATTAGGAGCTATTTGTTTCACCACCTGCTTCTTTACACAGGCAAAATCACTGACCCGAGTAGCTCTTGAAGCGACACCCCACCCTCGGAAGCGGCTGACAGTAATGCCAGGTCTCAGTGTGGAAGCAATGCCATACAAACTGGAAGGGAGCTCTGCTCCAGGAGTCTCAGTGGCACAGAGCCCTGTGTAGAGCCTCCATTCTATGAGTAAGGGCTGGGGAAAAGGGAGCCCCATCTCCAGTGCACTCACCCAGAGCTTAGCCTCAGCAAATGCCAGGGGCAGGATAAGAAATGCTGGTGTTTTCCTCCTCCTAGGGAAGAAAGCCTTCTGACTGGGAGCTGGGGAGAGATGGAACTGGAATGCAGTTTCTGCCTTACTGAGCTGGATGTGGGTAGGGAGAGATCAGTCTTAGTTCAAATAACACAGACTCGCACTTCTTATCCAATACTAGCAGCTTTGCATGTTTCTTCATTTGCTGCATGACCTTAGGACCATTTCTAGAGCATTCGTGTATTTTAAAACAATTTTAACCAGTTTCAGGGGGAGGCAGGTCCCTGGAGCAATCCATGCTTGCAGGATGGGAGCTGACCTCTTCAGTTTGCTCACTTTTCCTAACAAATAGAATTCCACTGTGTGACTATACCACACCTCACTTATCCATTCTCCAAGTGATGGACATAAATATGGACATTTGGGTTATTTCCAGACTTCTTGCTAATAGAATACTGCTGCTTTGAGCATTCTTGGGCAAATGTTTGTGTGTGTGTGTGTGTGTGTGTGTGTGTGTGTATGTGTGATATGTCACACATACATACACACCTACCTAGAAATGGGATTTCTAGGTCAAAAGTTAAACTAATATTTAACTTTACAAGATAGTGCCAAATTGTTTCCAAAGTAGCTGTTTCAATTTATATTTCTAACGAGTAGGGTATAAAAGTCCCTGTAGACCTACAACCTTTGCTATTAACAGACTCAATTGTTGCCCATCTAATAAGCTTAAATTTATCTTATTGTACTCACTAATAAAGGTACTGTATGTTTACGGTTACTGTTCCTATGTTTCATCTTCTCTTAGTAGTATTTCCTTTGCCCATGTTTTGATTGGGTTCTCTTTTTCTTACTGACTTGTAGATTTGTATATATTCTAAATATTGTCAATCACATGTATTATTAATAAATGTTACCAGTTTGTGGCTTATCTAAGGTGACTTGATAAACAGAAGTTCTAACTTTAATATAGTTGAATTTGTCAATCTGTTGTAGGTGTCAGAGGCTAAAATTGTGTGTGGTGTCCTTGTTTTTGTCTCTCCCGTTGCTTCATTTCCTAAGGACTCCTTAAATAAGGTCTGAGGGTTGGAGCTCTTTCAGATACAGTCTTGTTATACAGGAGTGTTGCTGATGTGTAGGGAGGTTGGGGGGAGGGGAAGTATTCTATAATCCTGTGATTAGTTATCAGTCTGTCAGTGAGCCTGTGTCCTGGGCTCAGACGTGTTTTCAGTTTTTTGCTTTTGCTGGCGTTGATTTTTCTTTTTTAAGTGACACAGGAAGGCTAGAGGGGGCTGGGTTTTTCTGTTTCCCTATATTCCTTAGGCTGTGGTAAAACATCAATGGGTTAGACTTCGGTAAAACAGTTTTCATTTTGTGAAGACCTTTGTTAAGGAGAACAGGATGCTCTCGGAATATTTCAAAATGATTACTTTTCCCTCCTTTTGATGGAAGCAGGAAATTATTCTCAGATCTTCAATGTGAGTATTTGTTGGGGCTCTTCCAGAAAAAACTCAGGAAAGTATATAAACCCCTAGTGGCTGGATCTTCACAAGTTTTTGTTTCTCAAGCTAGTCCACACTCAGATTCTAGTAATTTAGCCAACTACCCTTTAAATATGCCTATCAGATGCCAGTTCCAAGGGTGGTTTCTAGGCAGTTTCTGCTCCAAGTAAGCTCTCTTTCTCTGTGTCTGCCGATTTCCATTTTTTAGGTCAAGGCCCTGCAACCTCAATTCTCTGATGGATCTAACAAGAGTGGCTGATTTTCAGGTTTTCAGCTTTTTTCTTGCTGTGAGGACAAGAGTGACAATGTCCAAGCTCTTTACATGTTAGAGAGGCTAAGCTGCTTTTTAAAATAAATCTTTTTTGTACATCTCCAATTATTTACTTAGACTAATTTTATCAGAGTGAACTTACTGCATTACAGTGAGTAAATATTTTCAAGGTTTTTGCTACATACTGCCGAACCTCCCTCCAAAGCTGTACCAAAATAACCTAAATATATTTTTACCACCTTATCTTCCTGCTCATAAACTTCATTATTTCCTCGTTGATTTAAGATAAAACTCACACATCTTTAGCGAGTATACTCATTTTCTGGTGGTTGCCTGGAGTCACTGAAATCCTCTGTACAATCTGGCCCTTGTTTGTTTTTCAACCTGATTTCTCAGTACTAACACAATCCTTTGGTTTTGGAGAGCGGAGAACTTGTTCCTGAAACATGCCATGGTCATTCATTTTGTTTTTGTTCAAATCACCCCCTAGTGTTAACAATGCCTCCCTAAGCCTTCTCAGTCTTCCTCGATTCAATCTATACTTCTTACTGCTCATCTTGCACTAGCTCATTTCACCTGTTCAGTGCATTTTGAAAAATGTCAGGAAGTCAGTAAGTTTTCATAGAACATTTCTGCAATATAGGGCAGAGGATAGGGCCATATTTACTCTGCAAAATAAATGAAAGGAACTGGCTTATGTAATAAAACTAAGAATTTCTGACATGTGGAATAACTAAGAGATGATGGTTTATGAAATAAAATTATGTAACTATACCTTTTGGACTTTTGCTTTTCATATTTTTTCACAGTTCTTTTATTAATAGCATCACAACTCCATTATATGACCCTCCTGATTGCTCTAATTTAAATCTAATTTGCCCAATTTAAAACATCAATTTCACCAAAACTAATATCCTGGATAAATTAATTATTCTGTTGATAACACAGTGACACTTAAAAACTTACCTGTTTTTCCTTTCTTTAGAAAAATGCCTATAAAAAATTATTTCTTAGATAAATACATAAGAGTTTTACTACACTGTGGCGCACACACAAAAATAAGTAAATGCATGATACAAAGAATGATGATAATTAAAGAAGAGCTGTTACTAATTTTGAAACAAATTTCTTAGTCTTAATGTTTGATTTTTTTTTAATTTAAAAAACAAAAAGCAACTCACGTTCCATTTGTTCAAACATTACAGAAAAGAGGAAGTCTCGTGGTGTCATGTAATATTCTCCTCCATATTCCAGTGAAGAAAACTGCATGAAGCGCTGTTTACGAAGGGACAATTTCCCTATCATCTCTCCACAGTCAACATTTTTCTGAAAGACAGGAAATTGCAATTTAATATTTTTCCAGTATGATTCCCCAACTTAGCTACTTCTACAATAATCTTTAAAGAGTAGTGTTAGTGTTCAGGTCTAACAACCGCCACACTTTTAAATCATTAACAAATACTTAGTATGTGCCTACTTAGCACTGTTTTAGGCACTTCAGACTCAACAGTGAATGAGATGAAGTTGAAGGAGGACACATTCCAGAATGGAAGAACGACAATTAATGAATACAAGTACAAAATAATGTAAGATGGCAGAAGTGCCATGAACAAATATAAAGCAGGATAAAAAAAGTCATAAGAAGTAAAATTTTAGAAAGGACAGTCAGGGAAGGCCCTTCTAAAAAAGTGATTTTCTTTTTTTATTAAAGCATCATTGATGTACAATCTTATGACGGTTTCACATGAACATTGTGGTTTCAACATTCACCCATATTATCAAGTCATCACCCACACCCCCAGTGCACTATCAGCATAGTAAGATGCTACAGAGTAATTACTTGTCTTCTCTGAGCTGTACTGTCATCCCCATGACCTACCTACATTGTGATTGTGAATTGTAGTGGTGATAATCCCCTTCTCCATCCCCATGTACCCTCCCCAAATGATTCCCTTTGCTAACCACTAGTCCCTTTCTGGAGTCTGTAAGTCTGCTGCTATTTCGTTCCTTCATTTTTGTTTTATACTCCACAAATGAGTGAAGTCATTTGGTACTTGTCTTTCTTTGCCTCGCTTATCTCACTGAGCATACCATAGAACTCCATCCATGTTGTTGTAAATGGCAGAATTTCTTTTCCTTTTATGGATGAGTAAAATTCCATTGTGTATATGTACCCATCTTCTTTATTCATTCATCTATTGATAGACACTTAGGTTCTTCCTTTATCTTGGCTACTGTAAATAGGCTGCAATAAACATAGGGGAGCTTATGTCTTTTTGAATCAGGGATCTTGTATTCTTCGGGTCAATTCCTAGGAGTGGAATTCCTGGGTCAAATGGTATTTCTGTTTTTAGTTTTTTGAGGAACCTCCATACTTTTTTCCACACAGTTAAACTAATTTATGTTCCCACCAACAGTGTAGAATGGTTTCCCTTTCTCCATATCCTCACCAGCATTTGTTGTTCCTTGTCTTTCAGATGTTGGCCATCGTAACTGGTATGAGGTGATATCTCTTTGTGGTTTTAATTTGTATTTCACTGATGATTAGCAATGTGGAGTATCTTTTCATGTGCCTGTTGGCCATCTGAATTTCTTCTTTGGAGATGTGTTTGTTCAGATCCTCCACCCAGTTTTTAAATTGGGTTATTTGTTTTTTGGGTGTTGAGGTGTGAGTTCTTTATATATTTTGGATGTTCACCCCTTATCGGATATGTCACTTATGAATATGTTCTCCCATAATGTAGGATGCCTTTTTGTTCTGATGGTGTCCTTTGCTATACAGAAGCTTTTAGGTTTGATGTAGTCCCACTTGTTCATTTTTGCTTTTGTTTCCCTTGCCTGAGATGTGTTCAGGAAAAAGTTGCTCATTATTATATTCAAGAGATTTTTGCCTGTTTTTTTCTATATGTTTTGGTACTTGTCTTTCTCTGCCTCGCTTATCTCACTGAACATAATACCCTCTTTATGGTTTCATGACTTACAGTCAGGTCTTTGATCCATTTCGAGTTTACTTTTGTATATGGAGTTTGACAATAATCCAGGTTCATTCTCTTACATGCAGCTGTCCAGTTTTGCCAACACCAACTGCTGAAGAGGCTGTCTTTTCCCTATTGTATATTCATTGATCCCTTATCGTATATTAATTGGCCATGTATGTGTGGGTTTATATCTGAGCTCTCTATTCTGTTTCACTGATCTATGGGATTGTTCTTGTGCCAGTACCAAACTGTTTTGATTAATGTAGCTTTGAAGGAAAGCTTGACTTCAAGGAGTGCAATCACCCCAGGTTTGTTCTTCTTCCTCAGGATTGCTTTGGCTATTCAGGGTCTTTTGGGGTTCCATATGAATTTTAGAACTATTTGTTCTACTTCTATGAAGAATGCTGTTGGTATCTTGATAGGGATTGCAGTGAATGTGTAGATTGCTTCAGGTAGGTTGGCCATTTTGATGATGTTAATTCTTTCTATCCATGAGCACGGGGTAGATTTCCATGTATTGGTGTCTTTAATTTCTCTCATGAGTGTCTTGTAGTTTTCAGAGTATAGGTCTTTCACCTCCTCAGTTAGGTTTATTCCTAGATATTTTATTCTTTTTGATGCAATTGTGAATTGAGTTGTTTTCCTGATTTTTCTTTCTGTTAGTTCATTGTTAGTGTATAGGAATGCAACAGATTTCTGTGTATTAATTTTGTATCCTACAACTTTGCTGAATTCAGTTATTCTCATTTTTTGGTGGTCTTTAGGGTTTTCTATGTATAACATCATGTCATCTGCAGACAGGGATAGTTTAACTTCTTCCTTAACAATATGGATGCCTTTTATTTCTTTGTGCTGTCTGATTGCCATGACTAGGATCTCCATTACTATATTGAATAAAAGTGTTGAGAGTGGGCATCCTTGCCTTGTTCTCTACCTTAGAGGGAAAGCTTTCAGCTCTTCACTGTTAAGTATGATGTTGGCTGTGGTTTGTTGTATATGGCCTTTATTATGTTGAAGTACTTACCCCATATACCCATTTTGTTGAGTTTTTATCATGAATGGGTGCTGAATTTTGTCAAATGCTTTTTCAGCATCTCTGGAAATGATCATGTGATTTTTATCCTTTGCTGATGTGGTGGATAATGTTGACTGATTTTCGAATATTGTACTATCTTTGCATTCCTGAAATAAATCCCACTTGGTCATGATGATCGTTTTTTATGTATTTTTTAATTCGGTTTACTAATATTTTGCTGAGGATTTTTGCATCTTTGTTCATCAGGGATACTGGTAATTTTCTTTTTTTGTGGTGTTTTAGGTTTTCATATTAGAGTAATGGTAACCTCATAGAATGAGCTTTGAGGTATTCCCTCCTCTTCAACTTTTTGGAAACTTTGAGGATGGGGATTATTAGCTCTTTCTTAAATGTTCAATAAAATTCAGCCGTAAAGCCATTTGGGTCAGGGCTTTTGTTCTCAGGTAGTTTTTTTATTACAAATTTGATTTCATTGCTGGTAATCGGTCTCTTCAGATTTTCAGTTTCTTCCTGGGTCAGTCTTGGAAAGTTATATATTTTTTTTTTACAAAGTTGTTCATTTATTCTAGATTATCCAATTTGTTGGCATATAATTTTTCATAGTATTCTCTAATAATTCTTTGTATTTCTCTGGTGTCCACTGTGATTTTCCCTTTTTCATTTCTGATTCCATTTATGTGTGTACACTCTCTTTTTTTCTTGGTAAGTCTGGCTAGGGGTTTATCTGTTATGTTTATTTTCTCAAAGAGCCAGCTCCTGGTTTCACTGATTCTACTGTTTTATTTTTTTCAATTTATTTCTGCTCTGATCTTTATTATGTCCCTCCTTCTACTTTGGGCCTCATTTGTTCTTCTTTTGCTAGTCTCATTAATTGTGAGTTTAGACTGTTCATTTGGTATTGTTCTCGTTTCTTGAGGTAAGCCTGTATTGCTATATACTTCCCTCTCATAATTGCCTTCGCTGTATTCCACAGGTTTTGGGCTGTTGTTGTTTTCATTTGTCTCCATATATTGCTTGATCCCTGTTTTAATTTCATCATTGATCCTTTGATTACTTAGGAGCATGTTGTTAAGCCACGATGTGTTTGTGGGCTTTTATGTTTTCTTTCTGTAAATTTATTTCTAGTTTCATGCCTTTGTGGTCCGAGAAGCTGGCTGGCACAATTTCAATGTTTTTGAATTTATTCATCCTCTTTTTATTGCCTTGTATGTGATCTGTTCTGGAAAATGTTCCATGAACACTTGAGAATGTGTATCCTGCTACTGTTGGGTGTACTGTTCTGTAGATGTCCATTATGTCTATATTTTCTGATGTATTGTTTAGTGCCTCTGTCTCCTGACTTATTTTCTGTCTGGTTGATCTATCTTTGGAGTGAATGGTGTGTTGAAGTCTCCTAAAATGAATGCATTGCATTCTATTTCCCCCTTGAATTTGTTTCACGTATTAGGTACTCCAATAGTGGGTGCAAAGACATTTATAATGGTTATACCTTGTTGGACTGATCCCTTTATCATTATGTAGTGTCCTTGTCACTTTGTTTTGAAATCTATTTTGTCTGATATAAGTACTGCTACTCCTGCTTTTTTCTCCCTGCTATTTGCATGAAGTATTTTTTCCACTACTTCACTTTTAGTTTATATATGTCTTTGGCTTTGAAATGATTCTTTTGTAGGAAGCATATAGATGGGTCTTTTTTTTTTTATCCATTCTGTAACTCCATGTATTTTGATTGCTGCACTCAGTCCATTTACATTCAGGCTGATTATTGATAGATAAGTATTTATTGCCATTGTAGGCTTAAGACTGTGGTTACCAAAGGCTCAAGGATAGCTTCCTTATTATATCTTATCTTATATCTTAACTTGCTTATTAGTCTATTTGAAACACAATCTAATGGTTTTTATTTTTCCCCTTCTTCCTCCTCCTCCTCCACTCTTTATATATTAAGCTATATACTCTGTACTCTTTGTGTATCCCTTGACTTTGTGTGTGGTTGATTTAATTTTATATTTGCTTAGTAATTAATTGGTCTACTTCTTTTACTGTGTGGGTTTATTTTCTCTGGTGACAGCTATTTAGCCCTCGGAGCATTTCCCTCTAGAGCAGTCCACTTAAAATATCTTGTAGAGATGGTTTGGTAGTGGTAAATACCCTCAACTTTTGCTTATCTGGAAATTGCTTAATCCCTGCTTCAAATTCAAATGATAATCTTGCCAGGTAGAGTATTCTTCATTGGAGACCCTTCTGTTTTTATTGCATTAAGTATATTATGCCACTTCCTTCTGGCCTGTATGGCTGCTTTCAACACTCCC